CTTCCTTTGGTTCGTGCACCCGAGGTCGAGGCCGGGGGCGTGGACGAGGAAGAATCAATTTAATTGTTGAACGGACTAGGCTAACCATCAATATTGGTGATGAAGATAGTTCTGAAGAAATAATGATGAAAAAATAGAAAAACCTCAGTACGAGATATCCTTAGAAGATACGGAGAAAAGTGAATATGAAACAATGTATGATCGGATAAACCACTATGTGAATACTATGACCCTTACTCCGATCCTCCCTCAAAAGTTCGAAAGTTTAGAGATCAAGGAAGTCTGTAGTGTTGGTTCAAAGATGATCAAATTTTACCATGATTCTACCTCTACTAATATTTAAAATCATGTAAATTTGGATGATGATCCTAATGAATTAATGGAATTACCTTTTGGTAACTTTTCGCCTTACGTACAAAAGTTAATTCAACAAGAAAATTTGCTAAAACAAATGCCAAGAGATATATTACAACTTTTTGAAAAATTATGGAATATTAAAAGTCGAACTCCAAACTCAAAAGAGGGTCTCAGATTTGGTACAGTGCGACAAGTCGATGATTCAGAATGCATGGTTGATACTAGTAAATCAGGAGAGGATTGCCTCGATATAGAGAATGACTCTAATGATCAACTAATAGAAAATGCTCCGCCATAACTTGAGGAGGAAATCAAGTCAACTGTTAATGAGTTAAAGGAAATTAACCTTGGGACTGAAGAACAACCCCAACCTACCTTTATAAGTTCTTTACTCAACGATGAAGAATCTTCAGAATTGATAAAATTGTTAACAGAATTCAAAGATTGCTTCGCATGGAGTTATGATGAAATGTCAGGACTATCAATTGAGGTTGCAGTTCAAAAATATAACCCCAGTAAAACAAACTCCAAGTAGAATGCACCTTGAAATAGAGCAACAAGTCATTGTCGAGGTGAAGAAATTAATAGACTCTAACTTTGTAAAAGAAGAGCAATACCCCACATGGTTAGCCAATATTGTACCTGTAAGAAGAAAAATGGATAAATTCGTGTTTGTGTCGACTTCAGAGATCTAAACAAAGCATGTCCGAAAGACGAGTTCCCACTACCAATACTAGAAATGATGGTGGATATCGCTTCTACACATGAAATCTTCTCTTTCATGGACGGATCATCAGGATACAACAAAATTAAGATGGCTCCCAAGGATGCAGCACTTACAGCCTTCAGGACACCGATCGGAATTTTCTGCTACACAGTGATGTCGTTTGGGTTAAAGAACGCTGAAGCTACATACCAACGAACAATGACGAAGATTTTTTACGACCTCATTCACAATCAAGTGGAATGTTATGTGGATGATTTGATCATCAAAAGAAAATGAAAAATAAACCATTTATACGATTTGAGGATCGTGTTCGAACGGTTACGATAATATGACCTTAAAATGAATCCCTTAAAGTGCGCCTTTGGCATTACCTCCAAGAAATTTTTAGGATTCGTTCTCCGTCATCGGGGAATCGAGATTGACCCAGATAAGATTAAAGCTAGCTTGGAAATGTCTCCCTTAAAACTTTGAAACAACTACGTTCCTTCCAGGGGAAGTTGGCATATCTGAGATGTTTTATCTCTAATCTCTTAGGTAGTTGTCAGCCCTTCTCGGAATTAATTAAAAAGAGAAATGTCAGCTGGCCTTCGAGGATGTTAAACAATATTTAATGACATCTTCTGTTTTTGCAGGCCCTATCCTATGGGAACCCCATTGATACTTTATACCACAACTTTAAACGGCTCTCTTGGAGCCCTCTTAGCCCAACTAAACGATGAGGGTAAAGAAAATGCACACTACTACTTAAGTCGTCGTCTCATACCGACGGACATGAGGTATCCACCTATTGAGAAGCATTGTCTGGCACTAATTTTTTATGCCCAAAAGCTTAGACATTACATGCTCTCTCATAAAATTACCCTAATCTCGAAAGTTAATTCGTTGCAATATTTGATGACCTGATCAACACTCTCTGGACGTCTAGCATGATGGTTGATGATCTTATTGCAGTTCGATATAAATTTTATTCCCCTCCATGCTATCAAGGGACAGATTTTAGGAGAATTCCTCGTTGCACACCCACTTCCTGCAAGGTCTCCTCTTGACGAACTACCAGAATAACAAGTACTATAAATGGAATTCTTCAGTATGCAATGCTAGGAAATGTACTTCGACGGTGCTTCATCATCTATAAAAGACAAAGGCTCAAACGCAGTTATACAAGGCAAAGCAGGTATCGGTTTGATCTTTATCACGCCAGATAAAAGTATGTTGAGGTTCTCATACCACCTGAAGGATTTGTGCACCAACAATAAAGAAGAATACGAAGCCTTAATCATAGGGTTGGAGTTGGTAATTTCAATGGACATAATAGATATTGTCATCTACGGTGACTCTCAACTTGTATCTAGCAAGTCGCCGGACAATACAAAATTTTGAAACCAAGACTAGCAGAATACCACTGTTACACGATGAAGCTGCTGGAACAAATTCTCAATGTGACTTTCTATCGGATTCCTCAGGGAGAAAATGCCCATGCTGATGTAGTAGCAAAACTCGCTAAAGAATTAGCATGTCCTCTGGAGGATTCCATTGAAATCACAGTACAATGAAGACAAGTTCTGTATTGAATCAACCTCAACACTCTACACAAGCTCAGAAAAGAGGAAACAACGATTGCAGTTGTGGATATCAACGAAGATAGGCACAAACCATTAATCGAATATTTTCATACTGGAAAGTTATTGGAAGACAAGTCTGAGGCACATCACATTACAAAAAGGGCTATATCATACGCCTTGGTTGGTGGTGTCCTCTACAAAAGATTGTTCGACCAGATGTGGCTACGGTGCTTAAGCAGAGCCGAGGCACAAAATATTGTCAAAGAAGTACATATCGGATTGTGTAGCGCTCACCAGTCAGGGCAAAAGATGAAAATGAAGATCAAAAGACTCGGATATTTTTGGCCAGCAATGATATCTGACTACATGGAGACAGCTAGAAAATGTCACCAGCGCCAAGTGCATGGGGTGGTCTTGCACCAACCTCTGAATCGCACCAATCTCCGAATGTGCTACACCCAACTGTTGCTTCGTGGTCATTCGAGTGTTGGGGCACGGACATAATAGAACCGTTCTCTAAATGGGCAGAGGCAGTACCGCTATGAGAGGTTACAGCACAGCATGTCCTTCAATTCTTCAAAAGCCAAATGATCTACCATTTTGGTGTACCGCACAGAGTAATCTCCGACAACGGGACGACATTCAAAAGTACAAAAATCAACAATTTCGTCAAAATACACGAAATAGATTGGAGATACTCTAAAATTTATTATCCAAAAAAAAAGGATTGGCTGAGGCCTTCAACAAGACATTGGTACAGATTTTAAAAAAAAACACTCGATGAAAATAAAAGAGATTGGCACAACAAATTGCTATAAGCTTTATGGGCCTACCGAACAACATTCAGGACTCAAACATTCATGATTCCCACTCAATGTACACCTTACATGCTCGTGTAGAAATTTAGACGTCGTCTCTCAAAGTCGTAGTCGCCAATCAACTTACAATAAAGGAAAGTGCAAAGCTCAAACTTGAATAATTAGAGAATCTTGATGGAAAACTTGAAGCACAGCAATATTTAGAGTTTTATCAGGCAAAGATGGTGCAAGCTCACGATAAATTGGTCCGCCCAAGGACATTAAAAGTTGTTGACCTTGTCCTTGTGCTCAAAAGGCCTATTCTTACACGCCGCAAGATTGGTGGAAAATTTGAGCCAACTTGGGAGGGACCATTTGTCGTTGAAAAGGTTTATGCATGGGGAGTCTACCAATTAGTAGATTTTCGGGGTAAAAGACTCATGATGCTGATCAACAGACGATACCTAAAAACATACTACGCAAACTAACGTTGCTTATCGCCGCTTGATTTGAAAATTGTAAAATTTTGATCAATTTGGGTTTATCTATGTGGCCAAAAGTCTATGATTGGGTCCAAAGATTTTGTAAGTAACTTTAATTTAATGAAGAATTTGGAAAATTACACAGTGCAATTCTCTTTTCTACCTTTAAGTTTAAATTTAATATTCTACTAAATTAAACAAAATAAATACATAAATAAATAACTTCTTCGCCAAAATAAATTAAAATTTCCTCTAACTAAAAAACTTTGTTTTGTTCTTGTTCACACTAAGTTTTAACTCACTGATATTTTTTTTTCTTGTTTACAGAAAAATGTCAGGTCAGAAGTTGATCTTTGCCTTCAAGGATGGCTGGAACCTCGCGCTTAATGAGGAGATGGCACCACAAGGTGGCATTATTGACTTCAACATGGAGTTTAATGAAATCTACATGGACTATGAAGGTCCTTTAATGGATGTAGTTAGCAGTCAAGAAAAGGAGGGACTGCCCTCACTTCTGAAATTCAGATCCAAAAGCAATCCCTCACTGAAGGGGAAAGAGGTGATAAGACAACACAATCCCATTGAAGGAACCAATCGTCGACCATCCATGGTAGCCACTCCAGCCAGAAACTTGGTTGCTACTAACAACGGTAGGATATCGTTCGCTTTACTATGGAGGAGTCAACAGAGAAATGCCAACCATCGTAAGCACAGAGCTCTCTTGAAAGAAGAAAAGAGACGTCAACAACAAATAGAAAACCAACTCGTCCCCATTCCAGAGGGACACATCTATGAACCAGATATGAAGGAAAATTCTTCTAGCCTGCCCACCACATATGAGGAATCTGGGTATGTTCAAGAGCCAGAAGTACCGCCAGCCTTGGATGACCTTTATGCGAGTTACCCTACTTGAAACGTTGAAATACCACCACAAGCATCAGCTACAGGAGCTTTTGTCGAATGTCTGGACTGTAATGTCCTGCACTTGGAGCATTTCAGCACTCTTGAAGAATATGCCTCTAATGACGATCAATCTCAGACCAGTGATTGCCAGATGGAGGGGGCATACGTCCCAATGGGTACAGAACAATATGACCCATGGTATATTGAGCCATATGTTCTGATGGACTCCAAGTCATACATCCCGTTAGAGGTAACACCGGCATCAGTCTGGATTCCTATCAACAATGAAATGAGGGATTGTCCATGTCAGTCGCCCATCCTCGACACAACAGAGTATTATAAAATCAGCAAAGTCAACAAAAGAAGCTTTGAGTTCTACAAAGAAGTCCGTGGAGAACTCGTCAATATATTGGAAGGACTGGAATTGTATACCAGGGTCATTTTAGAAAAAGATGAACAAAGCATTCTGGATTGTATCTTTAACTTAAGAGATAGAGGTCGAGCAGGATTGCTCAAGGAAAGAACCTACTCTGAGCCAAGGAAATGGATGAGAGGAAAGGGAAGGATTACAATACAATGCGGATACTGCTATAATTTCACAAACGACAGGCAAGGAAATCCTCCCGGGATTCTCAGGTACGATCAAGTGGATCTGCTACCCCCGATGGTCAAATGGATGATTAAACAAATGGTTCGATGGAACATACTACTATTTGACTGCATTACAGACAACTGCATCATCAATCCATATGACGAGGGAGACTACATACCTCCTCACATTGATCATCATGATTTTGTAAGGCCCTTCTGCACAGTCTCATTCATGAGTGAAAGCAATATTCTCTTTGAGAAAGAAATACATGTCCTCAGCCCCAGAGAATTCAAAGGATCTGTAGAGATTCCACTACCGATTGGTTCAGTGCTTGTTCTAAAAGGCAACGGTACAGACGTTGTCAAGCACTGCATTCCCAAAGTACAACGTCGTAGGGTGTCTGTGATATTTCGACGAATGGACAACAATAAAATACTATTTGGATTTCAGCCGGATTCTGAACTTGAAGAACTGCTACCGTATGAGCTATGAGAAGGTTGCACCTCTAGGCGCACGTGAAGGGAACCCTTGTTCTGGAACATGGCTCAGAGGGTCAGCTTGATCACGAGCTCACTCGTAAGGGGATAGATATTCAGAGAGCTTCTCTTTCTTCTCTACTACATTATAGATATGATATGTATCAAACTTGATCAATCCATGATATGTACTGGACATGACACATTCTAGATGTAACTTCATGCAGTTTGCATATTGTACTCTTTTTGAGGCATTGGCCTACTTTTCATCTGTAATATTTTATTAAAGCAGATTATTGAAATTCCTTTCGGAAAATTTGTCTGATTGTTCAATTACCCTTCTCGGTGCGATGGATAAAAGCCATTGAACCATGTGTTGGTTCACAACTACAATGAACGAAGAACAAAACAACAAACATTTAAAGAAAAAAAGAAACTTTCAAATAAAAAAATAATGAAAAGAATATAAATTATGATAAATTTAAATAAAAAAATATCTTTTAAAAAAATTGACCAACTAAAAATAAAATTTGAAAAACATATTTTTGAAAATTAAATATGATAAAAACAACAAGAAAATAAAATAAATTTGTTTAGTGGATTCTCTCGATTTTGGAATTTCTTACTCTTTGCTCGCGTAGCACAACTATCTTTGTCTGTACTAATTCTCTTCACATCCCCGCAGAATTTCATATTTTGTGCAAAAAAAAATAGTAAATTTTCACAAATCCTCTTCAATAATGTCAACCTTTACATACAGCACATGTCTTTAAATTAAAAAGTGGAGTTGCACATTCTGTACAAAACCCAATAAAATTTTGCATATCTTCCTCGAAAATGTCAACCTCTTCACATGACACATATCTTTAAATTTAACACCACAAACTATTTAGAACTATCAATTCTCATTTCAAATCAGTCACTACCTACTGATTCACCCCTTTTGAGGTCGGTCCTTACCTATCCTTACCTTATGACGCTCTCTTTTGAGATTGACCTTTACCTGTCAATTCTCATTCTGAATCAGTCACTACCTTCTGTTCACCCCTTTCGAGGTCGGTCTTTACCTTCTGACAATCTCTTTTGAGATTGACCCTTACTTGTCAATTAACATTTTGAATCAGTCACTACCTTCTGATTCACCCCTTTCAAGGTCGGTCCTTACCTTCCGATGCTCTCTTTTGAGATTGACCCTTACCTGTCAATTCTCATTCTGAATCAGTCACTACCTTCTGATTCATTACCTTCGAGGTCTGTCCTTACCTTCTGAAGCTCTCTTTTGAGATTGACCCTTGCCTATCAATTCTCATTCCAAATCAGCACTACCTTCTGATCCATTACCTTTGAGGTCGGTCCTTACCTTTCGACGCTCTCCTTTAAGATTTACCCTTACCTATCAATTCTCATTTTGAATCAGACACTACCTTTTGATTCACCCCTTTCGAGGTCGTTCCTTACCTTCCGACGCTCTCTTTTGAGATTTACCCTTAACTATCAATTCTCATTTCAAATCAGTCACTACCTACTGATTCACCCCTTTTGAGGTCGATCCTTACCTTATGACGCTCTCTTTTGAGATTGACCTTTACCTGTCAATTCTCATTCTGAATCAGTCACTACCTTCTGTTCACCCCTTTCGAGGTCGGTCTTTACCTTCTGACAATCTCTTTTGAGATTGACCCTTACTTGTCAATTAACATTTTGAATCAGTCACTATCTTCTGATTCACCCCTTTCAAGGTCGGTCCTTACCTTCCGATGCTCTCTTTTGAGATTGACCCTTACCTGTCAATTCTCATTCTGAATCAGTCGCTACCTTTTGCTTCATTACCTTCGAGGTCAGTCCTTACCTTCTGAAGCTCTTTTTTGAGATTGACCATTGCCTATCAATTATCATTCCAAATCAACACTACCTTCTGACCCATTACCTTTGAGGTCGGTCCTTACCTTTCGACGCTCTCCTTTAAGATTTACCCTTACCTATCAATTCTCATTTTGAATCAGACACTACCTTTTGATTCACCCCTTTCGAGGTCGTTCCTTACCTTCCGACGCTCTCTTTTGAGATTGACCCTTACCTTTCAATTCTCATTTTCGATCAGTCACTGCCATCTGATTCACCCATTTCGAGGTCAGCCCTTACCTTCCAACGCCCTCTTTTGAGATTGACCCTTACCTGTCAATTTTCATTTTGAATCAGTCAATACCTTCTGATTCACCTCTTTTAAGGTCGGTCCTTACCTTCTGACACTCTCATTTGAGATTGACCCTCATTTTGAATCAGTCACTACCTTCTGATTCACCCCTTTCAAGGTCGGTCCTTACCTTCTGACGCTCTCTTTTGAGATTTACCCTTACCTGTCAATTCTCATTTCAGATCAGTCACTACCTTCTGATTCACCCCTTTTGAGTTTGGTCCTTACCTTCCGACGCTCTCTTTTGAGATTGACCCTTACCTGTCAATTCTCATTTCGGATCAGTCACTACCTTCTGATTCACCCCTTTCGAGGTCGGTCCTTACCTTATGATGCTCTCTTTTGAGATTGACCCTTACCTGTCAATTCTCATTTCAAATCAGTCACTGCCTTCTGATCCTCCCCTTTCGAGGTTGGTCCTTTCCTTCTGATGCTCTCTTTTGAGAATTGACCCTTACCTGTCAATTCTCATTTCGGATCAATCACTACCTTCTGATTCACCCCTTTTGAGATTGGTCCTTACCTTCCGACGCTCTCTTTTGAGATTTACCCTTACCTGTCAATTCTCATTTTGGATCAGTCACTACCTTCTTATTCAACCCTTTCGAGGTCGGACCTTACCTTCCGATGCTCTCTTTTGAGATTGACCCTTACCTACCAATTCTCATTTTAGATCAGTCTCTACCTTTTGATTCACCCCTTTTGAGGTCAGTCCTTACCTTCCAACCTTTCTTTCGAGCTTTCTTTCGAGATTGACCCTTACCTGTCAATTCTCTTTTCGAAAAAGTCATTACCTTTTGATTCACCCCTTTTCGAGGTCGGTCCT